TCTAATAATAAAGTTTTGACTTCTCTTGGGGATGTCCATCTCTTCCTACGAGTTTTAGTGCTTTGGGGATTTTCACACCTCTGATCTGACAAGGCAGTGAGATCTGCAGAGGGAATAAGGGGGGGTGTGTAACAGGGGATTTAGCAGTGCTGTAGAAACAACGGCTGAAGGAATTTGAATAGGGGTTTGTGGAAGGGGGGTTAATGAAGGATTCAGTGGTGCTGTGGGGAGGGGTAATGGGGAATTCCACTGTGCTGCGGGAACAGCGACTGAAGGAATTTGAATAGGGGTTTGTGGAAGGGGGGGGTAATGACGGGCATGGGGGGGGACATAAGGGACCTTCGTTTGGGTTTTTAGGGCTTGTTAGTCTTTTTTTTTCCTTAAGGTAAAGAGGTAACTTGGTTTTCACCTTTGGGGTATTTATAATGTTGCATATTCACTTTCCTCATGGGTGATTGGGGGTTCTTTGTTATTTATTCATGTGTTTAATTGCCGACACACCCAGTCCTCAGAAGACCCGAATATGGGCCATATAACATAGGGATTAGAGAGTGGTTTCTCTCTCCAAATTTCGATATAATAATGTATTATCTTTTCTTAGATTTACTTCTCCTCCTAGGGGAATTACCCCAATGTTTTATCCTTAATCCTAATGGGCTTTGTGGGGAAATATCGGGTAACTTATTCTGTTTTCCCTTCCCCATGGGATCAGAAGGCTTGCTTTTTCTTCTGTCCCATCTTCTAAGGTGCCTTGAAATGTACACACAGTCGCTTCCTCTCGATCGTGACTCGGTCCCTCGCAGGCCACGAGAAATGCACTACTAGAGAGTCCACACTCACTTGGTCTTGTACCAAGACCTCTCACACAGGTACACCTTAGGATCACCTCCCCAACCAAACGGCTCACCAAAAAAGAAAACTCTATACTTACCCCTCCCTGGGGTCTTCGTTTGGTCTTCGTGCACAAAATTCAAGGGGTCTGCAGATTTTTTTGCTTTATTATCGAAATTTTATTAGGTTCATTGATCCAGAGTTTGGTGAGAACAGCCTTCAGAGCAGGGCTATCCGGAGATAGGGTGCCTCCCTGTTCTGCAGGAGTCCACACCAAAGCAAATTGGATCCCGGGTTTCAGCACCAAAATTGTTATAAGTTAGTATAAGAATTTAGACAACTCAATTCCAATTAAACATTGATAAATTTATTAAGCAAGCAATAATAAAGCAAAACAGTGCTGGGTGGCCTGGAGGGCAAGTGCCCTGCCAAGGCACACACCACCATGTAGTAAATGTCCCATTTTTATACATTTTCAAGTCCCAGGTTTTGAATGCGGCTGCGTTGAGGCTTGAGTTCGTGGCTCATTGTTAAGTGGTCATCTGGCATTTGTCAGAGATGAAAGGTGCAGTTCTTATCAGTTGTAAATTTTACCGATACTGATACTTGTTTGTTTAGCAAGATGTCTGCAATTATTTTTACTGACACTTGCTTGATTAACAGGATGTCCATGAAACTTATCTTGTTGAATTATAGTGAAAGTTCTTTATTCCCTCATACACATAAGATTTTATGAACAAAGTTAACCCTTCTATTACACCTTCACCACAAGAAGTTTCTGTTCCAGCTATCCTTTGCTAAAATCTTAGACACAGCACCTGAGCTTGCAGAGGCATCAGGGCACAGCAGGGATCTGATTGTCAGTGAGGAAAACCATGAGAGCCCCAGTAACTGCCAGGCATTCCAGGAAGAGGAAGGGGCTGCCATGGCACAGTGTTGGCAGAGTGCTCATGGCAGAGGGGTTGCATCAAGGGATCTTAAAGACCCCTTCCAACCCAAGCCATTCTAGGATTCTGTGTTTGTTGGCAGGGTGCTGGTAGAGCTCTGTAAGCTCCCCTGTCATCAAGTCTCTGCTCCCCAGTTCCTGCTCCAGCTGCAGGTTTCCAGGAGCAGCTGATGCATGCACTGGGCAGCCCAGGGGAGCACATGGACCTACACAGGCTCTGGAGCAGCTCTAGAGCAGAAAACACATACCCAGGGTCACCATGGGAGATGCCACCCAACAACCAGGGCAGGATGACAGTGGCACAGTGGTATTGGAGCCAAACATTCCCACCCCTGCACATAGCCAGTAGGGATTAAGGGATTACATTTCACCTAAACACCCAGAGAAACACTCCCAGGGATCATGTCAACAAGATACATCCAAGCTTTTGGACTGCATGATCTTAGGGATCCTTTCCAACCTAAATGATACTGTGACTGCTTTTCGTTCTGTCATACCTTCTGTGTATGAAAAAAATGTACCTTGGACTTCCTCTTCAGCAGAAAATGTCAGGATTTTGTCTTTTCCCCCAGGAAACAGCAGCTGCAGGTTTTTCCCACTGTTTGTAAACAGCTGGGCAAAGCCACCTCTCAAGGGCAGGGAAACACTTTTACACAATCTCGATGGGGTGGATTTTTGCCTCTTCAAGCTTTTAAAGAAGAGAAAGCTGCCCTCTGCCTTGCAGCGCTGGTGGAGCAAACTCAGCTGCCCACGGTAACCCTGAGTGTGATCTGCTCAGAGCTGCCAGAGCTGGGCACCACCAGCTGCTGCCACACGGGAGCACAGCCCCGCAGCCGCCAGGGAAAGGAAGAGCTGGGTGTGCTGCAGCAGCCAGTGGAGCAGAAGGGCACGTGGGAGGCGGGATTGCTGTCCCTGAGCACCGAGCAGGATGGCACACAGTAGGTAGGGACCCAGTGGGAGGGTCTAGGCACTGGGCAGGACCCAGCTGAGCAGGTAAGCACCCTGACAAGGTCAGTCTCTGTAGCATTCAGCAAATTAATTCAAATTTAAAAAGCAATAGCACTGTTCAGAGCAGACACAGTTCTCACTGAAGTAAATTCACATTACCCACTTTGCCCACGGGGGATAAGAGAAGAAGACAGTCCCTTTGCTGTTGGGAACAAGAAGAGAAAAGGTTTCTCTTGACTGTTGAGTCTCCAACACTCCCATGATCAGTGAGAACACCTCCACTGCTGGAGGTCCAGAGCACCTGGAACCCCAACCCCAGATCCTGGCATCACCACATCACACTGCCTGTACACCCTCCCCTCCTCCTGCCCCACTCCCAGCAGGCAGAGCAGGATCCTCTCAGAGTCCTCTCTGCAAGGAGAAATGCTTTTTAAAGAGCTGTTGCAGTTGCTTTGCTCCCTGAGCAGTTTGAGCTCCTTCCTTCCCCGCAGGCTGGGGCCCTGCAGAGCTCAGGGCCTGCACAGGCTCCTGTCACCCACATCCTGTTTGTGATCGTGGCCGTGAACGTGTCACATTGACATCTTGGGGCACCCAAAGCGTGCTCTCACCACTGCTGTGAGGGCATCACTTGTTTGGTCTTTCTTAAGCCTTTCCACACTCACAGCAAGCCCGTGTGTCCCAAGGTGTGGCAAATTAACTTTCCAAATCAAAGGAATCACAACTTCAGCCTGTAAAGCTTCAGTAATTTAAGGTTCCTTTCTCAGTGCTGGAACTGTTCATTCTCTTTGGGCAGTGTAACAACCCTCACCAGATGTTCTGGTTTTTCTGTCCCAGTTGCTTTCAGACACCCCTATATCTTCCTTTAAGTCAACATTTTGGCCAAATAGAACAATCTCTCTTTTTTTTGGGTTTTTTTCTCTCCTTTTAGCTGATACCACTGTCAACAAAAAGTAAAATTATCTTGAGACAGCAAATCATAGGCAAAAAACTTGATGCCTAGTGATGAGCTCCAGAGTCCACCTGAAATGCCCCAACCTGGGCTGGGGACAGGCATCAGCTCCATGTGTGTATTGGAGCAGAGCCCCACTCTGGGCCCAGGGGCTGGGGCTGGATTCACAGCCAGGTTCACTCCCAGACTGAACTGCAGGCACTCAGTCCAGCAACACGGACAGGACATCATCCCATATGAACAAATTGCATGAGCTACTCTCCTGATTGTCCTCTGGCTCCCTTGAGTGTCCTCCAGGTCTCCTGGCTGCCTCTAGGTCCTCTGACTGATGTCCAGGTCCCCTGAGTGCCCTCCAGGTCCTCTGACTGACCTCCAGGTCCCCTGAGTGCCCTCCAGCTCTCCCAGACCTGCCGTATTTCCAGCCACTTACTCATTTCCAGAGGCCAGCACTGGCTCTGCTGGCTTACCAGCGTTCATGCCTTAGAGGATTGCTGGGAACAGGTTGTTTCTGTTTGAAGCTCATCTCAGAGGGAAGCTGTTGGATTTAGCCTGAGGTTTCTGACAAGCCCAGGAAGGGCTGGCACAGTGGTACCCGAGGGCATGGCTGCACGGGCTGCCCAGGCAACAGGAGAACGAGTCACACAAGGTCTTTGAATCATAGTCAAAATACTTCCAGTTATATTTGAAAAACATCATCAGGCTGCTTGGGCTGAACAAAGAGCCTGTTTCTCTATACTGAGAGGGAGGGAAATTTCCCTTTTTCCCCACATCTCTACCCATAGTTATTAAATCACTTCCTACACATTCTCACTCCATCCTTACTGCCTGAGGCCTCTGCTCCTGGAGAAATGTGGGCAGATAATGATCCTCCTGCTGTGAGCAGTGGGAACACAGGCCCAAGGGGCAGCTCCTGCAGCCCCTGGGGTGCTGAGGGAACAGGTTCCCAGCACAGTGTTCCAGGAGAGCCACTGACCTGCCACTGCACCCAGCACAGAGCAATCCTGCTCATCCCTGCAGGACAAGGCTCTGTCTTTACTTCTCTTGCCTTGAAGAGTTCCATATCTGCTGGACACAGGGAGCTGCTCGGGGCAGCAGCACACAGACACCACCATCTTCCCCTGCACTAACTCTGCAGAAGAGCCTGGGGGCATGGACGTGCTCAGGAGGGTCCTTTCCATCCCAAATCCCCTGGAATAAGACAGCTGGGCATGACGTGGAATACCAGCACCTGGCAGAGACTGCAGCTGGTCAGATGAAACCGATGCACCAGGTTATTGTGAGGTTTGTACAAAGGCTGCCAGGAGATGCCAGAACATCACTGCCTGGGGTCTCTCTGCCTGCTCAGGGCTCCCTCCTCTTCCCAACAGGACTCTGTCACTGGCTCTAGTAGAAGCACTTGCTTTATTAAAGACCTTTGGAAAACACTGACTCCAGTAACAGGAAATAAATAGCTATCAATTTTGCATTCAATTAAAAACTGCTATTAACACTAAAGTTCGCTGAGGAAGTTCTGCAAAGGTTCTTCACATTTCTCACGTTAATGAAGAGGTCCACAGCATGCTCTGATTAAAAAATGAAAATAATTAAACCCCAGAGCTGCGTAAATCTCATCAGTGCTGTTATCTGGATGAGTGCCCTGCCGTGCCACCACCCTTCACCCACGGAGTGCTCAGGGTGAGGGGCTGCCTCGGTCCCACGTGCAGAGCCCAGACATCCAGGGTGACACGTGCGACATTAGACCCGACTTTCTTCCTCTTCCACCTCCCGGTGAAACCCTGGAATGAATTTCAAAAGGTGCTTCCGGACACTGGCTCTCCTGCTTTTCCGTGGGAGGGTCCCAAAACTGCTGGAGTAGCTGCTGCTCTCCCAGAGCGGGGACATGGAGCCGCTGCTGGCCAGGCTGATGCTGCGGTTCCTGCGCAGGGAGCACCTCCCGGCAGCACCGTCCCCGTCCCTGGGGAACACACAGTCATCATCCATGCTGGACTGGCGGCTCAGGCTCTCTGCAGCCGAGTCCTCGAAGGCGCTGCCCTGGAAGAAGCTGTCCTCGCTGCCCACCGTCATCGAGCTCAGCCGGCTGCGGGAGCTGCTCTCGCTGGAGAAGCGGGGCTTGGTCAGGAAGAGGGGTCCTGGCGAGCTGCAGCCACCACAGGAGCTGGGCTCCTCCAGGTCCAGTGCGCCCAGCAGAGCGTTGTGGTTCGCCTTGCCTGGAAGCAGGAGCCAGAGAGGAGCGTTAGTGAGCGGCCCTGCTCAGGGCTGGGAGCAGGACGCCTGTGCCATGCAGCACGGGGAAGGGCCATGCCCAGCCCCCTGGCACACGGAGCAGCCCCTCTCCACAGGGGAAGCTGTTTCTGGCTGTGTGAGGTGTTTCCCACAGAATGGGGATTGTACAATCAAACCAGCTCCCTGGGCAGCCCGTGAAAAACCCAGCCAAACCTCTGCCCGGGTAAATCCGAATTAAGAATGGAAAAAAGCTTTGCCACCCACATAAACTCATTTCCTAGGACTGACGCAAAGATACCTTGGTTTGCATCAGTCAAGCAGCATCAAAGTTCATTACTGTCGGGACCAAAGCGCTCCCAGGGCCAGCCCCACGCCTCCATCAGGAGGGGGAAAGGAAGCAGAAGCCGGCTCGCAGAGGTGCCGTTTCCGCGGCGGGCGCGGTGCCCGCAGCAGGACGTACCGTGCAGCAAGTGCCGCTCCCGGGCCAGCAGCGCCCGCAGCTCCCCCCACCGCTGATGCAGCGCTTGCTGTGGAGGAGAAGGAAGAGGCTCCGTCAGTTCGCAGAAGCACAGAGCACTTGTCAAGAAAACAGTCTCCAAACAGTGCAGGTCAGCTCCAGGAAACGCTCGTGTGTCTAGCTTTTACTGAGACAGTTTTCCCGGAGTTTAGCACATTTCTTCCTTAAAACATGAATCTGCTTGTGCCCAGGGTGCTCTGGCTGAGGTACTGGCCACATCTAATTTGGAAAGAAGAAGCCTGAAATCTGGAGAGTATACAGGCTGAAACCCAGAGAGCGTGCAGCCCACCTTCAAACAGTCGTGGCAATGCCAGCACTCCTCCACAGCCCTCCCCAGCTCCAGACCTGCACTGGGAATGGGCACCCTGCTCCTCTTCCCTGGGTCTTGCAGAGTGGAGTGTGGGGAGCACAGCCAACCATTCCTGCCCCATGTTGAGAAAACACCTGGAACATCCTTACAGCCTCCCAGGGCCATGAGCTATCCAACACCCCACAATGATTCCCTTCTCTCTGTGGCAGGTCAGCTTTTGGTGTACAATAAATCATGGCAGAGTTGATTAAAAACACCCACCAAACAGGTGAGGCTGTGCCTGGGGACAGGAGGCCCCTCCCCACCGATCTGATGAAGTCTGTGCAGCTGGACATTCCTACAGCCAAACTGACCAGCATAAGCTCTCCTGAGCAGTCCTGGGATTGCAGCCACATTTCTTCTCTATTCTCCATTTGGGAAAAATAATATCACAGGGACTAGGGCTACAAGTGCTGGGAGTGCTGGCTGCAGGGGACCCATTGGGTGTAAGCCCCTGCCAGGACCCCCAGTCCCACGGACACACACCTGACCCAGCCCTCTGCATCGACAGCAGAATAACTAATTAATTACATTACCTTGAGTACCTGCAGCTTGGCCTCCAGCTCCATTTTCCGCAGGAACAAGGCCCCATTGACCGTCTCTAACCTGTGGAGAACAGGTGATGGAGGCCTCAATGTGCAGACTCTGCCCAGCCCAGCCCTCAGGGATTTCTGCCTCTGAGACAGCGCAGGGCTGGGGGCAGCACGAGGAGCTCTCCTGGCTTCAGGGGGAGAGAATATTAAGCCAAACCCCATCTGAAGGAGGGACACCCACCTCAAGTAGTTCCCTGAAGACTTTATCAAGTCCACTATCTGCTTGTGACCAAACCCCTCAGTGTTCACGCCGTTGATGCTGACGAGGATGTCGCCTGTTGGAGACACACGGAGGCCAAAATGAGCATCCGCAGCCCGTGCACATCCTCCACCTGCTCCACAACAACAGGAACAGGGAGAAAGGAGGGTAAGGCCTCCCACAGCAGCAAAACCCATGGATAGTTACCAGTCTGTAGGCCAGAGAGATGGGCAGGACTTTCCTCTTGAACTTTGCAGATGCAAGTGCACACCTCCAGGGAGAAATCGTTTTGGTTTGGAAACCTAACAGTCTGTTAATGCCAAAGGGACAGAGTTACCAACACTGGAGTCATTAAAACCATTTAAAATCCAACAGTCCTTTACATTTTTTCAGTGAGAGGGCTGTGATGGGCCCCAAAATGTTATAACCCAACAATTAGAAATGCATTTGTACAGCAGAGACACCTGACAGGTTCCTGAATGCTGTGTTTGCAAAAAAAAATAGACTAGTTTTAAAGCAAGTTTGTTATTCAAATTGTTATTAAAAACTCAGTAACTTTAACCAAGAATATCTGTCAGCATGGGTGGGGATGGCTCTCTGGAAGGATGTCTCGTTCCCAGCCATGGGAAGATGTCAGGATGGGACAGAGGCTTTGCAAGAGGTTACTCCTCCTCACTGGGAATGCTGTGTGGAGGCAGCTGCTGCTGCCAGAGAGCTGAGTTTGCAATAGGAACCAAAAAGAAAGAAGAGTTGAACCCACTTTTGCTATTCCAGCCTCTGAAACTCATCATCCACGCACATCCCCGCACTCCTCAAAAGTGCTGTTTGTTCTTGACTTAAGTATTTAAATACACATCAAGTAACTCTAGGTATAAATCCCTCGTGTGGTTTTGGGTGCTGACATGAACTTAGAGAAATGCAAAAGCCATCGCCACAGCCCCCCTGGATCTTACAAGAGCAGGAAATGTCCTCTGGTGACATGCAAATAGTTCAGCACATCTGCCTCCAGCACTGAGCACCGAGGCTGAGCTCCCTGAGCACCTGCGGCTGCTGCCTCAAACCCAGACTGAACAACTCACACTGGATTCCCAATTTTCTCATCAGTGTGGAACAAAGAGGTGGAGACTGGGTGAGTTCAGAGCTCATCTGGCCAAATCCCCCCCGACACAGGATTGCAGCCCCTGGAGCAGCAGTAAGACTTCTGGTTAAACTAAGAGCACCAAGGGAAGCCTGAGCTCCCTGCAGACGTAGACCTAAAGTTTCACATCATCTTATTCTGCTTTGCCTAAATTTAACTCATAGTAATGAAACTACAGCTTCTAAATAATGGTTATCCTCAGTATCAGAGGCTGCCTTTCCACGGCCAAGGCTTTCTATGAAGTGCTCACGCTAAACGTGCATTCAGGAAGAAAACGTGCCAAGAACAATTATTTTTAATCAGAATGTCACATACAATGAAAATCTGCTCTGACAGTTTACACAAAAGCCCAATAATCGACTCAATTATCCTCCCTTCTGAAAGCTCTCCTCTGTTCACGAGCCGAGCGCTGACCCACTCATTACTCACAGACCCAAAGTGGGCAAAGTTAAGCTTTTCCTAATACTCTGATTTCACCAAAAATAATGTTTCTCCTTGTGAGAGTACTTTGAAGGTGCCCTGCTGCTGGCAGGCAGATCCCACTGCTCCCAAAATATAGCCCTTTATTCCTGGGATAATTTTTAACTCCAGCCAGGATTTTAGTAGGCCTGCTGATCTAGGAAGTTGCCTTTCTCACAAAAACCTATGGAACAAAAATCCCCCACTAGCTGCACTCCTGATAAAATTCTGGTTTTCCTCTCTGATGATTTACTGACTTCTACATTGAACAGAATCTCTTCCTACATGATTTAGCCCCCCCTTCAAAGTTATGCTTAGCAGCCATTGAAAAATACAACAATATTTTACATCTTCAAAAGTACATACCTCTGTATGTTAAAGGAGGTAGCAAAAAGCCAGTATAAGGTATTTTTTGAAGGGAGTTCTTCTGATTTCTCTCATTTTATATGACAATATTTTCATACGCAATTCTCAAAAAAAATATTTACTTATGGAGGCAAAAAGGCACTGCCATTGCTTCTTATGTGGATTTGGATGGGATTTCTCTTACATTCAACACTCTGATTTGTGAGAATGCCAGAAATTCTCATCTGTGACCTTTGCTATGAAAAAATCCTTGCAAAAACATCCCAGTTCTATATCAGTGGAATATAGAAAAGCTCTTTTGAAATTTGAAAGCTCTTCAAATTTCACAGAATCTGACAGTTGCTTTCCTGTGCTCTGGGTTGCCTTAACCTGATTTTAAGGATGTGACACTTTAGACTCTGCACCACATTTTGTTTTTTAATGAATCAGCTTGTCATTTAAGTCTTACCTGGATTTCAAACCCAAAGGTCTCTTTATCTTCTTTCAATATAGCAATCAGGTGTCTGCAGGAAGAACGCACACAGTTCCATGTGAACATGGGATGACACGCTCTGTGCACCTCTACTTCCCACCAAAACCATCGTGTTCCCACCACCACCTCTCCCTGGGCCTGGGGGGTGTCCCCACACTGTCCCTCCAGTGGGGCAGTGGTGGTGCTGCCTCTTCCCCTACTCAAACTAGCTAAAACTAAACGTCACCTGCATTACCCAGGTACTGGGTACCAGTCTCTGCCTTACACCCTGATCCCACTTGAGCTGGGAAGATTCCCAGGACACGTTTCATGCAGAATAAGACAATAACAGTGACTCTAGAATCATAGAATCATACCTTTGTGGTTTGGAGGAGTCACCCGAGGAGCTGGATCTGGCTAAGGCAAGCTGTGACCAGAAGTGGGAGAGGACAGGGATCAGTAGGTCTGTGGTTCTTGGAGACACACGGCTAAAATCAGCAGTTTAGAGAAAAGCTAAAAGCAGCTGGTGGCATCCCATCAGCACCTTGCACCAACACAGCCTCTGCCTTGGTCAAACGGGAACTTGAACTTTCCAACCAGGAGGAAAAGCACCCGAAGGTCAAAGCCACCTTTCAGATGCTGGCATTGAGCTCAGTGCCCAAATCACATCTCTGCTGTACCAAGAGCTCACCTCATTTTTGTACCTTTCCTCTAAAAATCTGTGGGCATTTATGAACCGAGCACCTGCCAAGGGAGGCATGAAGCACCCACAAATGTGGGTGAGTGCAGACAGTGAGCTCTGCAGTGTCTCGTGGCAGCTGCACAGCATTTCCCAGCCAGACACGGACATCCAGGATCCCTGCTTCAGCCAGTGCCTGGAGAGGTCTCTGGGAATAGCCAGGATGATTGATTCTTCCCGTAAAATTGAACCAGGAATAAGGAATGACATCATCAGTGAAACGTTTGTAGCTGATACAGCCAATGTCTCAGGCTTCAGCAGGATAAAATGGTGCCACGGTGTGGTCTACAGAAACAACGACTCCATGGGCATGTCTTTACTTGTCGAGGGACAAGGAGAGGAGGGAGAGGCCACTGAGTAAGAATCCACTGCAGAGAAGGTGGGAGGGCTGAAAGAGGCACACAGGGCGATGGACCCTGTGCAGGGGAAGGGCCCTGCAGTGCATCCTTGGTTCTGATGTGTGTTGTAACTCAGCTTTACCAGCCACAGCCACAACACAGCCGTCACTGCCACCCTTCCCTGCCAGCAGCCACCGCCAGACCCAGGGGGACAAGTCACACCCAGGGTGGGTCCATCACACCAAGGGCTGCTCAGCCACACCAAGGGCTGCTCCACCACAGCGCTGGGAGCTGGTGCCACCCAGCAGCAGCATTCCCAGGACTGGCCTGGCTCTGGCTTTCCCTTATGTCCCCACATTTGTACCAAGAAAAGGATGAAGTGCATTTCTGTGGCTGAACAGAGTGAAACCTTAAGTGCACAGATATTACATGCTATTTTTCTGATCCTAATTTCAGACTATAATGTGTGTCAAACACTTTCTATTCAGACTTCTTCATGTCAGACAAGAAGTCCAGAGCTGGAACTGCTCAGCTGACAGTTCTCAGCCTCAGTAGAACAGTTCTGTGGGAATCCCAGGACAAGGTGAAGCAATGTGGGTGCTCTGTGCTGTACTGGGGGGAAAGCCCAGCAAAAGAGACAGCCCCAACAGCCTGAATAGTTGTACAGAAACAATCCCAAATCCAGATGGAAACAGCTCCTGGTGGGTGCTCTGTCAGTGTTGCAGAGCAGAGGATGGTGGGCAGGCTGCTAGACTGAGGTAAATGCACCTTTAAAGGAGCACCCAGGCAGCACGAGCCCCTCTGGCTCTCAGCACGGCTGGAAACGGAGAAGGAGCTGAGCCGGAGCTGGATCTCGGCTGCTGCTGCCCTTCACAAGGCCCGCAGGGAGGACACCCTGTCCCTCGCTCCTCACAGAGCTTCCCACACTGCCAGAGCTCTGCACACTGGCAGAGCTTCCCACACTGCCAGCTCTGCAAAGATGCCATCGCCATCCCCAAAACGGGCCCAGCCGACGGCACCCAGCAGTCATCCTTCCAGCACCCCGAAACCAGGGGCCACAGGGAGCCTGCACGGTCACTCGTGGGTGACGCCCGGGTGGCAGGAGGAGCCCCAGCCTCCCGCAGCCAGCCCGTACCTGCTTGTGCCCGCGGGGCAGCGTCCCCACCGTGCTGGCCAGGAGCTGGATCCGCCGGCCGTCCATGGGCATCACCAGCTCCCCGTCGGCAGGGCCGGAGCCCACGGGGCTGGCGTTGTGGTTCTGCTGCAGGAGCCGCCTCAGGGCCATGGCGAGGGCTCAGAGCGGCACCGCCAAGCACTGCGCCATGGCCACGGAACTGCCCCCACGACACCGACGAGGGGGAGAGCGGAAAGGCCGCCACGTGACCTGTGGTTTAGGTGCACGTTACACAAATCCCTCTCAGCAGAGCCCCAGGCTCTCGGTGTGCCTTGTGCTCACAGGGGAGTTAAGAATTGGGCTTGGCAGTTGCAGAAATCTGCTTAATTTTTCCATTCCTGCGCACAACAATTCTCACCAACAGCTGCTGCTCTGCCAGGATTTGTCCTCGTGGCCCTGCCTGCCTCAGGCATTCATCTGAACTCAACCTGCTCATTCTCTGACTTGCTCAGCATTCCTGGCATCCCCAGAATCACCTTTTGGCAAAGATGGGGAAAATAACACTGCCTTTGGCTAATGGTGTCAGTGCAGGACTTCCAGTTCCGGAGAGGGAAATGAGAGCTGAAGGCCAAGAGCAGGAGCTGAAAACGAGGCAGAGCGAGGGCAGAGCAATGCCCTCAGCACAGCACCTGGGTCACGGTGGGGAGCAAGGACTTATCTGGCACAGCGGGCCTGGGGACACACAGCAAAGTCAACTGAGGGGCTTCGGGAAGGGACAGAAGGGGCTGCCACAGCAGAGCCCAGGCAGGCACAGTGCCAGGGACAGCCCTGGCCAGATGTCATCCCTGCACCTCTCCGGGATGGTCAGGGCCTGAGGAGGATGCAGGGGTGACAGGTGGGTGAACAGGAGGGCAGGCACGCTGTGCCCAGACAGGTGCACACACTGAGTCCACCATCCCCATCCTAAACGTTCATCCCTCAAAAACACGGCATCTTGCAGCAGAGAAACATCCTGAAACAACAGGAAACATCTGCTCCACACACCTGGAGGAGAATTGGTGGCCGATGTGTAGAGGAATCCTGCAGTCCCTGTGCCTCGATGGGGACAGGGAAGTGTTGCACAGCACAGCAGCTCTGCAGCAACGAATTTAGACGTCTGTCCTTCATCTCCAGTTCCTTGGGGAGAACCCCTCTGGATTAAGGTGCAGAAAAGAGATGTTTAAAAAGCACTGCAGGAGAGGGGAAAAGCTCTCTCCTGTTTCGTGAGAGAGAAGTAGCTGTGGCCCAGAGGGGCATCTCCTCACTTGCACGCTGAGCAATGCGGGGAGCGGGTGACTCAAAGCCGCTTCCCCTTTTCCTGCTCACGGTCACCCCGGTGAGTGCTTTGGTAACAAACAAAGCACATTTCGGTTCCTCCGGCAGCCCTCTCTGACGTTCCTGAAACCCAGTGACTCATCTGCAAACAAGTTGAGGGTAGAAACAAATGAAACCTCCCATCAGAGCAGAAAGCAAGTCCCTGGTGAGAGCTGCCCCAGCAGCCCCGTGCTCGCTCTGATGACCCGCACCCCACACCATCCACGCACCCCACACCCACAGCAGGCACCCCACACCCCCACAATGAACCCCACAGCCCTGCCAGGCACCCCACACCCGCAGCAGGCACCCCACACCCCCACAATGAACCCCACAGCCTTGCCAGGCACCCCACACCCGCAGCAGGCACCCCACAGCCCCACAATGAACCCCACAGCTCTGCCAGGCACCCCACACCCCCGACACACACCCCACACCCCCAGCACACACCCCACACCCGACACACACCCCTCCCTCGCAGCCCGCCCACTCCTTTCCAGCCCGGCTCAGAGCCGTGCGGAGCTGAGCCAGGGCAGAGGGGAACACAAGTCAGACCCCGCTGCCCACGGCAGCTGCTCACATGTGTCCACAGAGATCACAAGGATGCCCTGCCCCAGCCTCCTCCCCAGCACAGTCCTTGCTCTGTCAGGGCCCGAGTGATGGGACATCTCCCACGAGACCAGGCTGATCCAAGCCCGGTCCAATCCGACTCTGAATGCTTCCAGGGGTGGAACACCCACTCCTCCACGGCTACTGTGCCTGCAGGGTTTCTGCCCACACTCACCTTACCAGGGCAGAAGGAAGGAGAGAGGAGTCATCCTGCAGGACACAAACCCTCAGGGACTCGGGAGCTGGCTCCTCTCCTGTGCTACCAGCTGTGCACCAGTGGCTCCTGGGGAGTCGGTTTACCTAACAAAAAATGAGGAATTACTCCAAACCCTCCACCAAACGATTTCTCATGAACACCTCTCCCCAGGTGACAGCCCATGGTGTTCTGCTCCAACCGAGCCGGGATGCAGTTGGCAGGGCACAGCACCCACCTGGCTCACAGGGGCAGCTGCCCCTCCAGCCAGGAGTGCTGGAGAAGGGTGTTTCTGGGAAACAGGAATTTCTCAGGCTGCGGGAAGCGCAGCACTGCTCTCCCATGCGACAGACGCCCACCCGGCGCGGCGGTGGCCAGGGGATGGCAGCCGATATTCACCGATGAGCCACCGGCTGCTGCTGTTCCATCGGGATCCGCTCCAGAGTCCCGACTGCCTGGCCACAACCAAACCTGCACAGCCGGCACCGTGGCGATGCCACCTTCCTGGAGATGCGCAGGGACCAAAGAGCAAGAATTCACAAGCAATTGCTATAACACAGTGGTCTTTTTAAGAAAGAAAAAAAAAATTAAAAAAGCAATTTTAAAAATTTTAAAAAATAAAAACAATTTTACACTTCACAGGAACACCAGGGCAGAGTACACTGAATTTATTAAAACAGCCACATCTTCCCCAAAGTATGTGGGGTGAAAAATCCGCATACAAAATACAACAGCTAAACCATTATTTACATCCAGGCAGCTGCAATATCGAGCAATAACTTTAGCAATAGTTTTAAAAATAACTCTGCAGTGTACACAGATCATGTATTTCACAAGACGAGGGTTGAGCACTGCACCACTATACTTATTTCAGAAATATTACAATGTTCCAGTAAAATATTAATGCTTCTTTTAAAAACAGACAACTCAGGAAGTGGTTTGTAGATTGACAAAATATGACACGTTTCTCTTTAGGAACTGTGAACAACAGCAGGTTTAGACACAAACATCATAGCTACATTCAAAATACATCTAGTCCATTCATCCAAAAATACGTTCAGTGTAAGCTACAACTTATTGCACATTTCTTATATTCTGCAGAAATATATTGTACCTCAGTCTTATTCCCTGTACATTCATAAATTGTTCTGCCTGTTAGAGTAGAACTTGGATGCCCTTCCCTAAAAGCTTTCGGGGGATTGGGGTCCCACAGCCCGTGGGGATGATCCCTGGAATCACAGACAGCTGAGGGCACAGGAGGGGACTCGCTCTTGGTGCTGCTGGGGGCACCCAGGACTCCCCAGGGACACCTCAAGGACAGCCCAAGGACAGCCTGACAGACCCCCACCAAACCAAACAGGGGGGGTTGAGCCATAACCTTCAGGAACACAAAAATGAGCCTGTTCCTCCCTGCCTGTGAACCCGCAGGACGCAGCAGAGCCTCCGGTCCCAGTGACATCCCTGCGGTGGGAGCCCTGCAGAAACACCACCTGTCCCAGCAGCACCCCGGGCCACACCCGAAATGGTGAGGCAGTTCACACAGTACCATCCCCACGCAAGGGATGAAACCCAAACCCCTCCTTCCCATGAGTGAGGGTGAGCTGGGAGAGCCTCCAGGGGCACAGGAGCTCTGGGCAGACGGGGACCGAGAGAAGAACGTGCCCTGCTCAAAGTTCAGACCTGTTGTAGGGACTGGACATATTTCTAAATAAATCTATCCATAATTCCTGAATTTATTACCAAGAAAAGAAATGGCTTAGCAATGACTAAACTCTTGTAGGGTTCATTATAGGGTTACATGAGGGAATGACCTTGGTTAAGTGCAAATAATAAAAGTACCAAAGTGCAGAGGAGATTACAGCCTGAATTTCTCAAGGGCTGTTTGGGGGCAGCAGCTCAGGAAACACAGAAAAATTTGGTGCTAGAGGAAACATTAATTAACTTTCCCTTTCAGTCCATAATCCCTGCATTAAGCTTTAGGTTGTTATTAGAAGCGAAGTATAAAATATTAGTAACTCCTCCCAAATAGAAGCATCAATTAGGAGAGGCTGAATGTAGTGATGGGTTTGAGCATCCTTGACCTTGAAAATTTTTATGAGTTTAAGAACTTGTGAAGATTAGCAGGTACATTGTAACCTCAGAGGAAACCTAAGCCTCCCTAAACTACACAGAAGTGTCTTGGCATAACCTGTGCTTAAATTAGAACTGGACAAATTCACATGGAGGGGAAAGGCCACTAAAACAATGGTTCTTTGGGGTTTCTTTAAAGGAGTGTAGAGTTTGCAAACATTTCAGAGCTCAATACAACATCATCAGCCCTTGGCTCAGTTATGTTTTAACTCTAGTCTCAACAACAAAAGAAAAAAGAAAACCAGTGCAAAAATACTGAGCTAGGTGAAACTCCAGGACAAACAGACCATAACATCAGATACCTCGAGATATGTGCAGGGGAAGGGTTAAAGTATTCCTGGGGCTGGAGCTCTGACATGTGCAAGGGAGCTGAGCCTGAGAATCCTCCCCCCACACCTCCCAGCTGGGCACCAAAAGGGTCTTGTTCAAATGGCAGGGCTGATCAACAATCTTCAGAGATGCCAGAATGGCAACTGAAAACTGAAACCCTTTTCCTACTTTAAAAAAAAAAAAAAAGTATCTTCGATTTTTCCCCTTTAAGATAGGGAATTTTTTTCAACTTATGCTCTACAAGAACAAATGCTGGATCTTAGGTTTGCAAATTTTTTGATACCCAAGTCAGCATCATGCTTTGGATCATGCTAAAATTACTCCTCAAGCAGCCTAGAAGGTCACATCCACTGAGCTCTACGGGGTAGTTCACGTAGTTGAATCACATAAGAATTAAATCACAGGATGCCTTGGGTTGGAAGCGACCTTAAAGCCTATCTTGTTCCCTTCCCTGCCATGGGCAGGGACACCTTCCACCAGACCAGGTTGCTCCAAGCCCCATCCAATCTGGCCCAAATCTCTGAGACACCTTTGATTATACCTCAGAAACCACACTGGAGAAAAGTCTACCAGCAATTTAAGGGAAATATTCTCCACTGCTCAGCTCCAGACCACAGAAAGACCTGCATAATTTAACACAAGCACCTGTGCAAACACATAAATTGCATCAGAGCCTATTTATGGGCAATTAACAGCCATAAAGTATCCAAAATGTCCTGGAGATGTGTGTCAGGAAGAAACCCAGAGTGCTGATACTACAGACCACCCCACTCAGTAAAAGTTTACCCTGTTTTTCCCTGCAACAGTTCCAATTCAAGAGATTTTACACCAAAGACTGATCTGACACACTGTGATCAGCCAACAGTTGACTGCCAGGGAGCTGCGTGGACCACACCAGATTTTTGCAGAGCTTTGCTATTCTTTGGGCTATATCTTTGGGCTTAATTTCCATGGACCAGTTGGATTTAAAGATTTAAAGAACCTTATGGTTATGAAATGTATAATTTTGGTTATTAAAAATATTAGAATACTATATTCAAATATGTGGGCCATGCAGTGGGGGAGAAGGATCAGTTCACAAAATGCCAGAACATCAGTGAATTCTGATACAACACCTCACTTTGATGGGTGTGGTATTGTGGAAACATGATCAGAGATGCTAATACTCGTCACCAGCCTGGCTGTGTTACAGAATTCCATAAGAAACCTCTGAAAAGGCTTTATTGGTTTTTGTTAAAGCCTCCCCCAATACATCAAAAGGCACTAAAAAAATATTACCAGTGATTAGCAAGATTTTGTTAAAAATAAATATTTTCTCTGGTTAGGTAGAATTTCTCCCACTTTACCCCTATGTAACTAATGGAAAGTATTGCCTCTATTATTTTTTCTACAAACTGTTAGAAAGAAAAGTTATCCCTTGGTTGATCTGTTCAACAAACAAATAAACAGAGTAAAACAACGGAAACCCTAACCATAATATTGTGTGTGAAACTGAGACAATAAATATAAATGTTAATAGAGAACTGACTCAATGGTTTTGTTCATAAGGTACACCCTTAGTGGAATTTCCATCTCTTTTAATTGCTTAGGTAATAATAAATATAGTAATTCAAAATGCATTTACTGATAGCCCCTTTTCAGACTCTTGCATAAAAATAGGTGAAAAGCTGGGCTAAATTTGGTCTTTTACTCGGTTCGAGGACAGAACATGAGGGTTTTTTTTGCAAACAGCTTTAACCAACACCAGACATTTCCAGGACATTTGGGGTCTGAGGAGGATGAAAAGTGCAACAGCAAAGAGTATTTTTACACTGCTGTGATGCTTTAAGCTCCTTCCTGCATTCGCCTGGTGTCCAATTTACTCACAACACCAAAGCAAGTCACAGCCTTGCTGCACCAAACCCGACCTTTGAGTCCCAAGCTGCCTCTTTCCACAGCTGAACACGACGCCCGAGGTCAGTGCTCTGCTGCGGGCACTGCAACACTGAACCACGTTACCTGAGGTAGACCAGAAATGAAAATACTATCACACGTGGAAAGATGAAGAGCAGAATCCCTTCCCGTCTCCTGACGCAGGGAGGCCGGTCAGGCCTTGGAGTCCTCCTGCAGGCAGAGCTGCGAGACGGTTTTCTTGACGCGCAGGGCGGTGAGGCGCGCGGCGCCGCTGGCGTGCCAGCACTCCCGCATCAGCCGGCCCATCACCCGCAGCGCCTGCACACACAACAACCACACCGGCCGTCGGGAGGGACACACCAGGATCATCCACTCAGCACAGGCATCCCCAGCACTCACCCCCTGTGCCCCAGAGCATCCTCCAAACCCTCCTGCAGCTCTGGCAGCCTTGGGGCTGTGCCCACTGCCCTGGGGAGCCTGTTCAGTGCCAACCACCCTCTGGGGGAAGAACCTTTCACTGAGATCCACCCTGAGCCTGCCCTGACACAGCTCCAGCCATTCCCTGGGGGTTGTCCCTGCCACCCAGAGCAGAGCTCAGTCCTGCCCCTCCTCTGCCCCTGCCCAGGCAGTTGTAGACATGGGAGCAAACAACAGGTCAGGAGCACAACCAGCATCTCCTGCTCTCTGTTTTGCAAGTGCCTTACAGGAAAATAAAGTGCAGCTCTCTGAAACAGTGACACAACTGCAGCAGCATTACTTAAGATCCACATTTAAGAGAGTTGAGCACTTGGTGCAAAGAGCTGACCTGAGAGCTGAAGGACAGCTACACATCTGAAACATCTAAATTCAAGAGAGGATGAGCACCAAGTACCCTGTTTCTCACTGAAAAATTCTGCTTTAATTTAAATTCAAAAATATAAATAATAAAATAAAACTAGAAAAAATTAACTAGAAACTAAACTAATAATAATAAATAAACTAACTAAATTAAACTGAAAAAAAAGAAAAACACAGAAAACTGGTTTTACCTCACAGCTTTGCCACTGGTTTGGAATATTCGGTCTGAGCTTCTGCTCACAGACAACCCTTCTCATGTCTTCTATTGAAGGATCAGAAGGCACAACATCGTAGTAAGGCAACTGGTATTCCTCAGTGATTCCTAGGGAACATTTATTGGGGAAGTAACACAAAATACAAAGTACCTGCTTCACAACTAACTCTAATTGTTTCTACAAGCAGTGAGAGAGAACAGAGGACCTTTTGGGGCCACCTTGAACAACAGCTCCGTGACATTTTCTGTCCCCACTTACTGCTGCAGTAACCAGGAGTGCTTGGTTTTACTGAAGACAGAAGTGGTGAGGATCACAAAATGAGCTACAGCCAGCACTGGGGTCCCCAGCACAGGAGGGATGTGGAGCTGCTGGAGATTGTCCAGAGGAGGCCACGGAGATGCTCCAGGACTGGAGCCCCTCTGCTCTGGAGCCAGGCTGGGAGAGCTGGGGGGCTCACCTGGAGAAGAGAAGGCTCCAGGGACACCTGAGAGACCCTTGCAGGGCCTAAAGGGGCTCCAGGAGAGCTGGAGGGGGACTGGGGACAAGGCATGGAGGGACAGTACAAGGGGGAATGTGTTCAAGCTGGTTGAGATGGGATATTGGGAAGGAATTGCTGGCTAGGAGGGTGGTGAGGCCCTGGCACAGGTTGGACAGAGAAGCTGTGGCTGCCCCTGGACCCCTGGAAGTGTCCAAGGCCAGGTTGGACGGGGCTTGGAGCAACCTGGGCTGGTGGAAGGTGTCCCTGCAGGTGGCAGGGGATGGAACAAGATGAGTTTAAGGTCCCCTCCAACCCAAACCAACCTGGCATTCTGTGATTGTATGAAAAGGCAGCTCACCTCCAATGGAGCACCTGCGGGCTATCTCCCAGTACACCAGCCCCAGGGAGTAAATGTCTGCTCGTTTGAAGGACTCGAAGATGCTCATGTTCATAGTGTCGTCCAGGATCTCGGGAGCCATGTACCTGTGGAGCACACGGGGGCAGGTTGGTTCCTACAGAAGGCCACGGTTGCCCTACCATGTGCCAGGGCCAGGTGACCCCTCCTGGCACTGGAGCCATGCCCTGACCAGGCCCAGAGCCTGTGGAGTGACCAACATACAGTGTCCGTGCCAGAGCCGCATCCCAAGCGGGACAGGGAGTTCCATTCCATGGGAACAGCAATCACCTCCCGCTCCCACCCAGCGGGCGTGGAGGGTCTGCGGGACCCCCAGCCGATACCAAAAGTGCAGGGGACATCACTGATGGAGGGGAGGGCTGGGAGGAGCCATCCCCAGAGAGTGAGCCCGTCTAGGGGCTGGCAGACCCACCTCCTGGTGCCCACGCGGGGGTTCTGGGGGATGTCGATGGTGTTCAGCACCGAGTCGTGCTTCACCGCCAGGCCCAGGTCAGCGATGGCGCAGGTCTCGTTCCTCTTCACCAGGATGTTCTTGGATTTCAGGTCTCGGTGTGCAATCGCTGGCTTCCCTGTTCACAGGGAGAGAAACCGCCTCCAATTTTGATAAGAACAGTGTGGAACTTAATATAATGAGCAAGGATGTGGAAACAGTTTTATTCAATTTTGTTACTATTCCCTGTAGAAACACTGAAGCCTATTTTGAGCGAGCAAAGCTCTGCTAAATGCTGTCAACTTCAAAAGAAAACTTTGATGGCATTTTTGTTTCAATACCTGTGTTTCAGGAATAAAACACAAAAAAAGAAACTGGAAGTTCACCCTTCAAATTAATTTATAAAATTACAGAATCATGGAATGGCTTGGGTTGGAAAAACTCTCTAAGGTGATTGAGGCCATCTGTTCCCACAGCACTGCCAAAGCCACCACTAACCCATGTCCCCAGGTGCCACATCTACAATGCTTTTCAATCCCTCCAGGGATGCTGACCCACCACCTCCCTGGGCAGCTGTGCCAGAGCTGAACAGCCCTTCTGGGGAAGCTTTTCCTAATTTTTCCTTCATTAGAGCTCACTTCTCTTTGGCACAGCTGCTCCCACAGGCATCCACTTAAAGCCGTGGATGAGGTGCAGGCAGCAGAAGTGGGAAGGTGACATCCCTGTTCCCCTGCAGCGCTCACACACCATTCCTCTTGGTGTTAACAGTTTGGAAAGCGCTTCACGATTCCACGTCACCCATAAATGCTTTTGCAAACAACACTGAGGCACCTTAAAATACCGGAAGGATGAGTGGGAGGGAAACACTTGCCTTGTGTGCCAACGATCTCCATGTGGAGGTGGGCCAGGCCACTGGCCACCGACAGCGCCAGCCTGACCATGCCCTCCACCGTCACCGTGCCCCTGTTCAGGTAGTCGAACAGGGACCCCTGCTCGTGGTACTCGGAGACAAGCCAGAGCTGAGTCCACGTGCCGTTATCTGCCCGGAGGAAGCACCATCATTAAAAATGCTGTGTGGCCAAAGCCTTCCCTGGAAAAGCCCTGTGAGAGGACGGAGCCCCCGACGCCGCGCCCGCCCCGTACCCTTGTTGTCGGCAGCGATGAAGCCCAGGATGTTCTCGTGCCTCAGCATAACCGTCTGGTAAATCTCTGCCTCCCGGAACCAGGACCGCTCGTCTCTGGAGGAGAAGATTTTCACAGCCACATCCTCCCCGCACCATTTCCCGCGCCAGACTTCGCCAAAGCGGCCTTTTCCTACGATTTCCTGCAGGACAATCGTCCTGGCGATGGTTCTCTGGACCAGCAGAGGCAAACCTAGTTGAAAGGAGAGACAGGTACTTGGGAAATAGCTCCACTGTGATCTTCAAACCCCAGCACTGCCCTTTACCAGTGAGCTGCATTCATGGCTTTGTTTTCCAAGCCTGCCAGGGGAAAATCCTTTCCCCACAATATCTCCCCAAATCAGCCTTTTAGATATTACTTTTCAGTGTCCATATATTTAAAAAACATTTAAAAGCCCCAATAAAAATTAAAAACTAGGCCTGAGATATTCAATTTGGTTTGATAGGAATTGCAGCTGTCCTACAATCAATTAGTTGCTCTGCTCTGACTGATATTTTCAAAAACAGTGATAAATCATCATAGCAGCTCCACTGTCCTTTGCAAGCCATAACCTCTACCTTCTTTGGTTTGATTCTGTGTTTTCTGGGGACTTAAAATAATTATTAATTTTTTTTTTTTTAAATCAAGACAACCTTGATTTTGGCTGAAATCAGACCAAATTGCCCCACTTCACGGGGCTCTGGATCATCACAAGTCCAGGCCTATTCCTGGCTCAGGGATGGCTGGGAAGAGTTAAAACTTCAGGGTACATAAAGCCAAAGTCTGCTCATTATAGTTGTGAAAAAGCATTAGGGAAGAACAACAAGTTAATCCTCAGAGGTATGCAGCTCATGGAAATAAAGTCAACTAAGTTAGGCACCATTCCTACATTTTTCACTTATAAATAAAAGCAAGCACAGTCTACATATTTTTCAATAAAAGCTGTAGTTAGGGAAAGCTGTGTTGTACACCCCAGATGTGCCATTGGCCAGATGAGCTAAAATATATTAATTCCACCTCATATTTGTGTTTCTTTGGTTTAACAACTTCTCCATTGCAATGGAGGCATCACAGTAGACTGGTTATCAGAAACAGGAAAAATGTGGGCATTCTGCTCAAAAAAGAATATTGGGTAATGCTATTTTCCAATAGAACACTAAAAATTTCAGAAGCAGTATCCTGACTCAGGTGAGTTTAGGACCTCTCCTTATCAGCCAGCAGCATTTGCTTTCACGCTTGAATCTGATTTCTGAGCTCACTCTTTTAACTCTTCCATTCCAACCAAGAGCAGAACTTTTGCAATTGGACAGAAGAGCACACAAAGTGCCGTCACTGCTGGGAGGGGTGGCCACAGCATCTGCCCGCCCTTGGCGTGCAGGGCACCCCACGTACCGGAGCCGGAGCCGGAGGTGGTCATGTCGTAGATGAGGTCCCTGAGGGTCTTGCCGGAGCTGCCCAGGTTGGCCTCGGCCAGGGGATCCTCCACGGTGGGCGCTTTGCGGCCGCGGCGGGCGCAGCGCCGGCGGCCCCGGGAGGAGCAGGCGGCCAGCACCGCCAGCAGCACCAGCACACACACCGGCACCGCCACCGTCACCGCCAGCACCGCCGGCCTGCCAGCCCTGCCGGGGGACTCGGACGCTGTGGGAACACGAGCGGGGGAGAAGAGCGTGAGTGAAGGGCTGCGGGGGGACAGCGGGGCGAGGTTCAGGGACTGCTCCTGGCCACAACACAGACCCCACTCCTGTACCACATGGAGTCTTTCCCCACACACTCTCTGTGCGGGAAGCTTGGTCTCTTGATGCCACCCAGCACCACCGCCTCAGATCATCCCATCCCATCCCATCCCTCAGGGGACACCAGAGGACACTCTCAGCAGCACACAGCTGGCCCATGGGCTCAATGCCCCAGACTGGAGCAGTAAATGGTCCCTTCTGCCAGCACAGTGACCAGCATTCCCACTGGAAAATACCTGCCCTGCCAGCCTGGCCGTCAGCTCCAGCAGGAACAGTGGGTGCCAGATGTCAAACACCAGCAGTGGGAGAGAGCCTGCAGGAACATCCCACACCTGCAGCTCCTGGTCTCCTGCTCCTGCTGGGAGCCTTGGCCACAGCCCTTGTCTCCTTGGCTGGAGAGTCCTCCCACTTCTTTAGCATGGGCTGTGAGGCTGCCCCTTCTCACAGCGTGTGGTCACCACAGCCCTGCATCCCTCCCAGCCTTTCCAGCTCCTTCCTTCTCTTCCCTCCTTTCTGCAGCTCCCTCCACTCCAGAGCAGCACTCTTTCCAGAAGAAATACCTCAAAAACCAGCACTGTGACTCCTGTGTTATAGTCAGGGCCATCCTCAACCCTGACCCCATGCACCAGGTGTCCCATGGCCAGCACATCTGGTGTTCTGCACACACCCCTCAGGGGCTGAGGGGCTCCCACAGCTCAAACCACACAGGGGAGTGACAAACACCACGAACACAACACACACACCACGCCCAGGGTGCCATTAAAGGCCACACCAGCATGGTGACATCCACAGCAGCTGGGCAAGGTCAGACTCTTGGGGAAATCAAACAATCCCTCAGGACCACCCAAACCCAGTAAAACAACACCATTAACCCCATTTTGCAATCCTATTTTGAATGTCCTGTTCATTGACTGGCTAACCAAGAACAGAAGCTGACACACGTTGCCATGTGTGAACCAAAGGCAGCACATCTGGCAGTACTCAGCAATTTCAACAACGTGGAGTAGTTATGGTCCAAGTTGTGTAAACAAAACAGTACTTGTAGGCAGTAAAAAAGTAAGAAAAAGGATGGATTTTTTTTTTCCTCCAATGGAAAAGACATTCTCACACACAGCCATTTGCTTTTGACTCATAATGAGCACTGTAAGGTTTCCAAAAGCTCTGAGCTCTGTGTGTGCAAGATTCTAGGCTACTCAGGGAGCAAATTACATGTTCTTTCCAAGGCAGTTAGAAAATGTCTTGCATTAATAGGGGGCTCTAGTCAGCTCTACAGAATACTTTTAAACCATTTCAAAAACACACAATTTGGGCTAGAGTCTAAAATTAAGTTTCTCCAGCTTCCACTGTGACTACAGACACCACTCACAGTGGAGCAGGGGCAGAGATCACAAGCTCTGTCTCCCACATCTTAAATGTGGCCTGAAAATCCTGTGAGACACAAGTCTACAACTGAAAGAGCCTCTGGATCTGACCCTCAGCTGCTCAAACCAGCCTGTTCCACACTGAGTTCTGCAGAGAAAACAAGAGTGAGGGATGTGCAAGGGATGGTTTATCAAAGGGAGGTCCCTCAAGGCAGCAGCACACAGAGCATTTTCTCAGTCCTGCTGTGACATCCCACTGACAGGGGAAGCTCACCTTGAGCTGGGGCAGAAAATATCCCTGTTAAACCACTAGAAGCCCAAAAAGAAATTCAATTAAAAAACAAAACAATTACAGTAAATGCATCCTGCACTTTGAAACTTTCTCCTGCTAATGCAAAATACTGCAGTGAATTCCCTGCTCACAAGAAGGAGGATATAAAAAGCAGAGATCCAGGTTGAGTCTGTCCTTAAAGGTATGTACTTTCAGACACTGTAAAAACAAACAGACAAAAACCAACCAAACAAAGAACAAACAAACAAAAAAACCAACTCAAATGAACAGCCAGTTCCTGTCCTCCAGGGCACCAACCAGAGACTGCTCTGACTGGGCATTGCCACCTGCAGCTCTGCCACGGGAATTCAGGCACAGGCACCAAAGCACCCACACTGCCCTCTGCCCCCAGAGATCCTCACCCTGCGGGTCCTCTCACTGTTTTCCAGGCACTCCTGGCACCTTTACAACAAAAACCTTTGGTAATGACCCACAGGCACAGAATCCCAGAGTGGTTTGGGTTGGAAAGGACCTTAAAGCCCACCTGGTCCCAAACCCCTGCCATGGGCAGGGACATCTTCCACTAGTCCAGGTTGCTCCAAGCCTGTGGAAGAGCTGCAGGACAGGTTTGTGTCCCAGCAGGGCACAAAGTTCCTGCCTCGCCTGGATGATGGGCACCACACTGGACCTTCCCAGGGCTTCCCCTCCTCCAGGAGAGTCACTCCTGCCTAAAGGCAAGTTTTCTATGCCCACATGCTCTACTTTCAAACTAGAATCTGCATAATGGAGACAGGCAGGTTGGCAGGAAGATATATAATACATATATACACCTAAAGAGAGCTATATATACAAAGAAATAGATAAATTTATAAGAAGTTTGATATAGAAAAATATAGAGACAGAGGGGGAGAGAGAGACAGAGAGAGAGAGAGAGAAAGAGATAGTTATGGAAAAAGAGAGAGAGGGGCACACAAACCACATTGGCACTGTTACATTTCTGACTGACATGAGTTCCCCCTGATGTTTAGAGCAAAGGGCTCAGGGTAAGAAGTCAGTCATTTTTTAGGGGGTACTGAAATGCAAACCCTCTAGTTTTGTAACTGCCAGCTCAAGTGCTGGGATGACAGATGTGCCTCCACTGCTCCTCTAGAAATAGCAGCTTTAACCCAAGATACCAGCATCCCAGCTTGGAAAAAAACCAGCATGGTGCTTTATTTCTAGAGCATAACCACAACTAGGGTGTCCCTTCTGTGGTCAGCTGAAAGAAAAACACTTAAATAGTCCTTATTCCTACCCCACAGGACAGGTGAGGGTGAGTACCAGGGTTCAGCAAGAGGTGACAGTGCCCGAGGCTTGCCTGTGGTTTGCCCTCCTCTGTTTATATGACATAGCAACAGCCTTTCAAATTCCAGTCAGAACTATACAACAGCAGCTTGAATTAAAGCTATAATTGTAAATTATGTACTAATTTGCACATTTTTACCTGTAACATCTCTCACTGGTGTAAGTATAAAAAGGTGTCCACTGATAAAGCAGTATATTTTACAGGTTTTTTGAAAAAGCCTGGATTAAACACAAATCTTGCAAAGAAGAGTCAAAAATATTAAATTTATTTTTAAAAAGCACTGAATTAACAACTTCATTACACAACTTTGAACCTGGCAGACTCACACACTGCACATTTTCCACTGTGTGTGGAGATGTTGGAGGCTGGAAGGTCTCAGGCAGGGCAGAGGCTCTGTTACTCCCTTGCAAGACCCCAGATAATAGCTTCTGGCTCCTCACAATTGCTAATTCACCAGTGCCTCAGGTACCATCTTTCCAACATCCAGCCTAACTCCAGGTCACAAACTCCCTGAAGATACACCAGCCCATAAAACTTGTGAGGTTACAAGTGCTCTTCAGACACTTCTTAGAATCACAGAGTCATGGAATCACAGAACATTCTGGGTTGGAAGGCACACACAAGGATCACTGAGTCCAAATCCTGGCCCTGCAAGGGACAGACCAAGAACCCCACCGTGTGCCTGAGAGCACACCTTCACATCTTCCTTGCATGTTCATGTTTAGTGCTCATGGGACCCAAAGGCAGTGTGTGGAGACCTTTACAAGACACAAGAAATTCCCTCTGCCCCAGAGCTGCAGTTCAGATTTTCCTGTCTGAAACAAGCTGGGACAAAACCAGCTGCTGTTTTGCAGCCAGCCTGTAAAGCCCCCCCGGGCTGGCTGCCGTGGCTGCGTCCCCTGCACAGCATTTCCCACCCCCAGGTGCGACAGCAGCGCTCACACAGCACTCACCGAGGGGCAGGCGCAGGGTGATGTTGTTGCAGAAGTCGGTGTAGCAGCACTCGGTCTTGGTGACGTTCTTGGAGCTGTGGCAGAAGACCTGGGCATTCAGCTCCGGGAGGGAGACGCAGGACTTGACCACCTCCTCGCGCCCGTTGGTCAGCATGACCGAGGCCCAGCACGCGCCCTCCGTCTGGCAGGTGAAGTTGGTGTGTTCACACAGCTGGCACACGCACTGCAGGCCTGCAAAACAGGGGACAGCGCTTGGGAGAGGACCCTGGGACAGCAGAGCCCGGGACAGCAGAGCCTGGGACAGCAGAGCCTGGGACAGCAGAGCCTGGGACAGCAGAGCCCGGGAGAGTAGACCATGGGACAGCAGAGCCCGGGAGAGTAGACCATGGGACAGCAGAGCCCGGGAGAGTAGACCATGGGACAGCAGAGCCCGGGAGAGTAGACCATGGGACAGCAGAGCCTGGGACAGCACAGCCCCGGGATAGCAGAGCCTGGGACAGCAGAGCCTGGGACAGCAGAGCCTGGGACAGCAGAGCCTGGGACAGCAGACCCCAGGACAGCAGAGCCTGGGACAGCAGATCCCGAGACAGCAGAGCCCGGGACAGCAGAGCCTGGGACAGCAGATCCCGGGACAGCAGATCCCGGGACAGCAGAGCCTGGGACAGCAGATCCTGGGACAGCAGATCCCCGGAACAGCAGAGCCCGGGAGAGTAGACCATGGGACAGCAGACTATGGGACAGCAGACCATGGGACAGCAGATCCTGGGACAGCAGATCCTGGGACAGCAGAGCCCCGGGACAGCAGAGCCCCAGGACAGCAGAGCCCCAGGACAGCAGAGCCCCAGGACAGCAGAGCCCCAGGACAGCAGAGCCCCGGGACAGCAGAGCCCCGGGACAGCAGAGCCCGGGACAGCAGAGCCTGGGACAGCAGAGCCTGGGACAGCAGAGCCTGGGACAGCAGACCATGGGACAGCAGACCATGGGACAGCAGAGCCTGGGACAGCAGAGCCTGGGACAGCAGAGCCTGGGACAGCAGATCCCCAGGACAGCAGAGCCCGGGACAGCAGATCCCTGGGACAGCAGATCCCGGGACAGCAGATCCCCGGAACAGCAGATCCCCGGAACAGCAGATCCCCGGAACAGCAGACCATGGGACAGCAGATCCCCAGGACAGCAGATCCTGGGACAGCAGATCCCTGGGACAGCAGATCCCGGGACAGCAGATCCCCGGAACAGCAGACCCCCAGGACAGCAGAGCCCCGAGGCCGCTGTGCCAGCCGGTCCTGCCGGTTGTCTGACCACGAGCGCCCCGTGGGAGCTCCGGCACAGGGCCATGCCAGGACTGATGCCAGCAAACGGGCTCCTGGGCTGCAGGAGAAAGTCAGTCCCAGGAAACCCCCAGCAGCACAGGTCCCCAGCACTCACACATGACAAGTGTTTTAATCCTGTTTTATAGTAATCATCTGTCTCCCTTGGTGGGGAAGACTGACCACCACAAAAAGCAGTTCCCGTGAAAGCTGCCTCTTGCTGAGGTGGGGAGACAGAGGTTTGGGTTTATGTTCCCAGCTCTCACCACTCCAGACAGCACCTCAGACAATGCTCAGTACAAAGACACTGGCACAGGCTCTGATCTGTGCATTCAGACACAGCCACAGTCATCATGTACCAAGTCTTAAATATTACCAACAGCTTCTGGTGAGGAAGCTGTTGCTGACTCCCAGTAACACAGCACCATCCCAGCCACCCGCCTGCACCAGCACCACCCCACCACGTCAGAGCACCGAGCTGAGGCATCACCAAGACACAGCACCTGGCACCCCCAGACAGAACAACCCACCCTTCCTCCCCATCCTCCTGACAGGAGGCTCCTTGTCCAGGCACCCCTTCCTGGGTCAGCTGGGACTGCCAGACTGAACCCTGCTCTACTTAGGAGAGTAGCTTTAGCCATAAATCCATTGTTTCTTTGGGATTGGAGGGGGTGTGGAACGAGGGTTTCTTTCATTTAACATAGACTTGAAAAGTGAAACACCAGTTAGTGGTGAGCTTGGCAGTGCTGGGGGAATGGCTGTGCTCAATGATCTTAGAGGGCTTTTCCAACCCAAACCATTCCATGATTCTGTGATCCCTGAGTCCCTGGAGGAGCACAGAAGTCCTGACAGACATCAGCATGAACCTGATTTCTGTTTCTGTGATACTCTTTGTTTTCTTTACAACAATCTCCCATCCTGTGCCACCCTTCTCAAATCACAGTTTGTGGTGTTTCTCTTCAGCTCGGGCCCACAACAAACTTCCTTGGCACCATATGTCCATGTTTATCCTGCTGAGGGTGTGCCAGGAGCTGCTGCCTCAGCTCTCCCTTGGCACGGGAACGAGCACCATCCATCACCCCCAGCACAGCAGCTGAATCTCCCTTAAAGACATTACCCTGTTCCTAGAAGAGCTGCCAGGAGCAAGACTCATCAGATCCAAATAAATTAGAGATCTAGCAGGAAGAAAACAGACACATCATCACCAAAACTGCAAAATAAAAGCATCATTGAGGAAAGGAGTCTGATATTGCTGCAAATGTCTTCAAGGATTCTGTCACGTCATTATGCTGTTTTTCTCTCCTTCTCACAGCCCAAAAATAAAATCTGAAATTATCTTTATGATGTCATCCGCCATGGATATCTGACAGATTTATCCATCATTCTGTATTTTGCAGATTGCTTCAGAGTAGACCTGATCAAAACTGTCCCTGCATGTCCTGAGCACCTCCAGGGTGGTTCCTCTGAGCCTTGTGGACATGAGGAGAGACAAGGATGGCTGAAGGGCTCTGTATCCTCACCCTGACCAAGCCAAGACAGTCACTGCCAGAATGGTAAGGCTCTGCATCACCAAATGCTGCCATCACATAGGGAAAAAACCCACAAACAAACAGGAAAACTGTAGCTAAATTTATTCAGAGACTGGATCAGAGTCAGAGTTTTGGGAAAGATGAGATGCTTTCTTCCCGGAAGATTTACACAGACCACTTCAAATGTAATTCTATAAAAGCAGAAGCCCTGGGTTACCCAGATACCTGCCTGTGCTGCTGACTGACTTCTCATGTAGAAAAATTGATAGAAATACCAAACCACACATAAACCCCTGACCCTCTTTCCAGGAACATTTGTGTCCTTCCAGAACCCTTTGTTAATAGAGCAGAAAGATTATCTTAAAATATACTATGAAAGGATGTGTTTCTTGTACCTGTGCTGCTTCAGCTGACTCACCACTGAGGAACCAGCAGAGCCTGGGCCCCTGTGAACATGCCCTTGGGAAGATCCATGCTTTTTTCCCACTCCCCATCCTGCTGAACGGGGGGAGGTGACAAACCCCATCAGCTCTCACCCTGTGTCACACCCCAGCTGTGCCCCACAGGGAGCTCCTCAGGCCCCTGCACAACAGCTCCAGCTCTGCCAAGCCTGTATCCCCATCCCTGCTGACATTCTCAGGGACACAGCACTCGCCACAATTTGTGCCTTACCTGTACTGCTCTACCAGGAAAACCTCAGTGCTGCTCCTGGTTATTCATGACAACTTCCTCCACTGGAAAAAATTGTCCCTGTACAACCCACCCATTCCCAAGGACAGTCCTGGCAATGCCATCAGTGATGCACTGTCACAGGAGGAAAGCTGGGACTCCCACCATCCTGGAAACCAGGGAGTGGAATAAGGTGAAGGAGCTAAAGGAAAAGGGTCAAAGGGGCAGGATGAAAATGTGCCCCTCAAGTTTCAAAATAAGTCACTCTTTAATCTGGTAAAGAACACAACTCCTTTATTTACTCAAATAAACAATTCCCTTAAAACATTCCATTCTCTGTTAAGAAATTAGGAGAAAGTGAATGACTGAAACACTCCACAACTGCAGAGAGCTGTGCCAGGCAGCCAAACCTGGCCACCAGTGGTGCCAGTTCTGCGAGCATGGAACTCTCCAGCAGTCATTAATTAATTTGTCCTGACCCTCCCCAAAACCCAGCATCCCCAGCAGGACTAGGGGCCGGCTGTCCCACCAGGACTGGCTGTGGAGCCGAGGCAGGGCCAGGGCAGAGCAGGACAGGGCACACCATGGGCTCCCTTCCACAGGGACTGCAGCCAGGGACAGGCTGGAGGACAGAGGTGTGTGGGGCCACATCCCTTCCCATGGGCAGCTCCACTCCACGGGTCCCCACAAACAACAGGAGAAACCAAGAGCCAGCCAAGGTGGCAGGGAAGGATTCCCACACCAGCAGACAGACAGGGAAAGCAACTTTGGATACAGAGACCCCAGGAACAGGTGTTCCCTGGGTCTGGCATTTTTAAGACATAAGGGGTTTTCAAGGATGGTTTTTCCGCTCTTACTGCCATAGAAGCTGAGACTACACACCAGATTTTTGGATGAGCCCCACCATGAATCAAGGACAGCATGACTTGCTCTTCAGAGCAGGAAATAACCTGCCTGACTTACCTAAAAAGCAGCATTTTCTGCCTTTTAGTTTTCAGTGTGACTGTCAGAAAACACAGACACACTGTACAATGAGCTTACAGAGCAGGAAGAATGGAACCAGCCCCAGTTCCAACAAACCAGCACAAAGGTGCCAACAGAAGATGGGTTTGTGTGCTTCCATCCCTTTTCTATCGTGTCAGCTTCAGTTACAAGAACCACTAGACAGCTAAGGAACAAGAGTGTTACATGTGAACAGCAGATGGAAGAATAGGAGCTTAAACTCCAGCTTCATGAAAGCAGCAAGCAATTAAAACATGTGGACAGACAAAGTGCACCCTCAAAAGTTACATGGAAAGAACTGAGTGTACAGCTGGCAAAAGGTGACTGATCCACAGGGCTGATGGAAAGAACCGAGAGCTCTGCAGGGGCAAAGCCAGACCCTCTCTCTCTTATGAACCACACAGGGTTCTACCTTCCAACACTCTTTTACTACACAGATTACCAGGGCATTAATCTTCCATTAAGTCATAATCCAGCACTACCAACCATAACTAAAGTAGAGCAGTTAAAAATTAAATTAGAAAGCAAATATGTAGATGGCCCTGCAGCAATTTATGGTCTTCCTGGATGGAGTTTGGAGCAACCTGATCCAGTGAAAGGTTGGAATGAGATGGACTTTAGGCTCCCTTCAAACCCAAACCAGTCTGTGATTCTGTAATGGGAGGAAGGGTTGAATATCCAGAACATTTCCATCCTTGATCATTCTGTACAGTCATCTG